CGGCCCCAGACCCAGCCCCCTTCCCACCCCCCCCCCCCAACCCAGTGCCCTTTCCCTCCCTCAGAGCCAGGGACATAATCTAGCAGGGTGTAGGGTAATGCAGTGTCTCCATGGGAGGAGTCAAACCTGCCCCCCACATCAGATGTGTCCTGGGTCTCACTGGAGTCTTCGCAGCCACATGCTTTTCCTACCAGGCACTGGGGCACATGTGCAAAGCAACTGTTAATGTCTGGGTGCACGGCTCCAAATGTTCAGTTTGATAGGCATGTGCCGCTGCCCCCTCCCTGATTCCCTTTGCAGGGCAAAATCCTGGACATGTTTTGCCATTTAAAAAAGCCGGACAAACAGATTTAACATAGAAAACGAGGACATGTCCAGTAACCCTATACAGGCAGTCCCCGGGTTACGTACAAGATAGGGACTGTAGGTTTGTTCTTAAGTTGAATTTGTATGTAAGTTGGAACTGGTACATATTGTAGGGGAAACTCTAACCAAACATTTCTCCAGAGCTCAGTTTTATTCTCCCACACCTCACTTCCCTCAGTCCTGCAGACCAGGGAGACGTGGAGCGGCTTTTCTCGCCGCGGAGGACGCGGGTGGCGGGACCGTGGCGCATCTCGGCGGTCTGCTGGGGCAGGGGCGCAGCTAGTGCAGGGTTGCCTCACCCCGTTTGTAAGTAGGGATCCGATGTAAGTCGGATCCATGTAACCCGGGGACTGCCTGTAGTTGCTGGATGAGTGTGATGCTGTGTTCTCTAAAGTCAGGGTCCCTACCCACTGCAAACCACAGGCAGCATTTCCACAGTGTGTACATGCAACACAGCTGTCCCAGCTTCCTCAATGGGGAGAAAGGAATGATGCCAGACTGGGTCAGTCATTCCCATAGGCAAATATGCTTCCTTATCTGATTCCAAGTCCTGTGTTTACTGTCAATGGGAACAGGAAGAGAATGTAGAAGCTGAGACCACAACTGTCCCTTTTCCACTCTAGCTTCTCCATCCATGCCACTTCCCTCCATTTGTTTGGCTGCTATTCGTACGAATGTGACCCTTCTGCCAGGGGAGAGGGCAGCAATCAAGCCAAGTTTGATATCTAGGTTCGTTTTCAACAATACAAGACAGAACTGGCTTAAATCCTCTCCAGTAACCTGGGCGAATCACACTGCTGCCCTGGGTGCTTCTGAGAGGGCAGGCTTCCCCATCCACAAGCACAGAGTCTGAGGCTACGTCTACACTTAGCATGAGGGTCTAATTTAGCAGGTCTAGAGAAGAGCAGCTGAATCAACTGCGGGTCACTTTCTCATTAACTCTGGCACTCCACTGGAACGATACGCAAAGGGGAAGTCAACGGAAGATTTTTTTCCCATTGAGTAATCCACAGTGGAGACTCCATGGGAACCCCATATAGCTGGAGTTACATAAATTAGGTCACCTGTGGCCCGTATTGCAGAGCTGCCCTGAGCATATGAAAGGAGGGAAGAAAATGCCACAGGCAGGAATCTTAATCATAAAAGTGTAAGCAGGATGCCCACCCCAGAGTGTGCAGGCAGGGCCATCCACCTTCTATTCTTGAGCTCTGCTCCCAAAAGTTCCTTTTCTGTGCCCCTCTCTGCTCCCTCATCTTCCCTACTCACAGTGGCTGTCATGAGTCAGTGAGGACCCAGGGACCAGAGGTGCCTCAGTGTGAGTTCACTTCCCACCTGGGGAAGAAGGCATCTTGGTTTTTTGGCTGCCCCTCCTGCCACCATTCTGCTCTGCTGGCCACCTCACCAGCTGCCAGCTGCTCTGCTGCCTGCCCTGCCAGCCACGGTGCTGAACACCATCACCTTCTGCTGCCACCTGGTTCTTTCCTGGGACTTCTACAGGTCCGTTGCTTGAGGCTTCTCCTCAGCTCTTAGTAATTTTCAGTTCTAAGTGGCAGAACTTGACTGCTGAAGCAGGCTTGGCAGAGACGCTGTCCTACAATGAGTGATTTCAGCTCCAGTGAGCACTTAACAGTAAGCCTAATGGAGCTTTACTGTCTTTGCAGGAGGGATGTAACTCTACCTGGGGCTCTGAGAGAGAACCCCCGCCTCCTGGAAGGGACACCTGTCCCCATTCCCACTTATTTTCACAGTGCTCTGTGTCCAAGCCCCGGCCTTAGCACGTTCATTTCATTGAAAGAGACCCATTCAATCAGAACAGGCTCCACACTGTTCTGCTCCCTTTGACTTGCACAATAAGGATGACACCACTGGTAACAATTCACTGCCCCTGCATTCGGTTCTACAGTGATTCTAGAGCCGATCACTTTGGCAACTTTGACTGCTGGATGGCCAGCTAGAGTGGGTGTGTTCATGTAAATACAGTCCGGTTTTGAAGTCTACCCCTCCCCTCAGCTGGCTGTCAGAGGACGGCTCATTTACTTTCAGATGAAAAATGTGGAAAAGACAGGGCTTGCTCACTAGACTGGGGCTGTTTCTGAAGTGCACACTTGAAATTCATGCACAGGTCTCTCTTGGTTCTTCTAGGTTTCACCTGCCCAGCCAAGAATTACTTTGACTTCTGTGGCCCTGCCTGCCCTGCCACTTGTGCCAACCTCAGTGCTCCCCTGCTCTGCACAAAGCCCTGTGTGGCAGGATGCTTCTGCCGGGAAGGGTATGTTCTGGATGAGGAACGCTGCGTGCCTGTGAGTCAGTGCGGCTGCACGCTGGAGGGGCGGTATCACCAGCTGGGAGAGGAGGTGATCTTGACAGACACCTGCAGCAGGAAATGCAGCTGCCGCCAGCCAGCCCAGCCCATGCAGTGCCAGGATCATGCCTGCGGGGCTCTGGAGACGTGCAGAGTTGTGGATGGCGTCCGAGGCTGCTACCCTGTGACGTTTGGCACCTGCAGGGTGTTTGGCCACATCCACTACACCACGTTCGACGGAGTCATGTTTGATTACCAAGGAGCCTGCAAATACACCCTGAGCAAGTTCTGTGGGCCCCCCGGGAGCCTCCCGGACTTCACCGTCAGAGCAGAGAATGAGCACAGGGGATCCATCGCGGTGTCCCGGACGCGCCTGGTGGAGCTGGATGTCTACGGGGAGCGTGTCACTATAGCCACGGGACAGTATGGCCAGGTGCAGGTGAGAGCATTTCCCAGATTTGCAGCAATGTATCTCCTCTGTGCTGAACAGAGATGGGGAGGAAAAATAGTTCCAGGGAACTCACGACAGGAAGAAGCCTGAAATATGCTCCTCTTCCATTTAAATGGTGAAGAACCTGTTGCCAAGGTAAGTCAGAGACTGGGGCTTGCTGTAAACATTGTCTTCGGAGCCTCACTTGGAAGGACCAACTGCCCAAGCTGGCCACATCTGCAGTTTGCAAAGAGGATGGAAAATGGCAGAAAATTAAACACCCTAAACTTACAGACCAACCCTAGGGCACAGATGTGATGTGATGTGAAATAGCTAGGGCTGGGGGCTGCCTGTGGGCATGACACTGAATGCATCAGGCTTGGGGAGAGTGGATTAATGCACACATTTGTCTCGCTTTTCCCCCAGGTGAATGGATCCCTGGTCAATCTGCCTCTGGTCCTCGCATCAGGTAAACTCTATGCCTATTTCAGTGGCTCGGCCGCTGTGCTCCAGACAGATTTTGGCCTCTCCGTATCCTATGACTGGTCCCACTCCGTGTCGGTTTCTGTTTCTGAGATCTACTTTGGGTCACTGTGTGGACTTGGTGGGGATTTCAACAGAAACCGAAGTGATGATTTCCAGACCCCACACGGCTCTCTGGTTGCTGATGCTGTCACCTTTGGCAACAGCTGGCGGGATGCCGATTCCCCTTTTCACTGCACGGCCGTCGGGCTCCCAACCTCGTGTGACCAGGTCGAACTCGCCCAGTACAGATCGCAGAGCTACTGCGGGATCATCACAGACCCTGCTGGGCCTTTTCAAGGGTGTGACACGCCGGCTGATGCTCAGGCCCACTTGGAGAGCTGCGTGCGGGATGTGTGTGCCACTCGGGGCAGCCGCCAGACCCTGTGCCAAGTGCTCCGCAGTTATGCCCAGCAGTGCCAAAGTGGTAGCATTGCCGTTAAGCCTTGGAGACAGCGGGCTGCGTGTGGTAAGTGGACAAGTCCAAATATATGGACAGTGTTACGTCCAACTCCCTAGTCCTTCCTTGTTTCCTTGGCCTGATCCAAAGTCCATTAAAGTGAAGAGAGTCTTTCCACTGATTTCTGTCAGATTTGGCTCAGGTCCCATTGAATCACAGGAACATGTTGGGCTGACATCCCCGGTTGGTGGGTATTAGAAGCTTGGCGCAAATGCGGCAAGAAATGCTATGTACAGTGCACCTCCCTTTTGGAGGTCAGCTAGCCCAGCATATTTGGAGCATCACTGCTAGAAGCTCACAAGAAGTTGGAGTCCACTGGTGCCCCTAGACCCTACCCTCATTTCCCACCCCCACCCCACTCCCCACTTCTTCCTCCCTACTGTTTGCTCCTCTTCCCCCTTATCCATACAGCAGGAGGGGATAGAAAGGAGCATGTGGCAGGATCCTCAGCGGAGGAGGCAGAGAGGACTTGAGCAGCAGATGGGTGGGGAGGGTGTCAGGGACAAAAAGGAGCACAAAGCAGTTGGAGAGCTCACGGGTGGGCAGAGCAGAGTGGCTGGTGGGCTTTTGGGAGGGGCAGAGAGGAATAGGGTGGTTCTCGGGGCGGACAGGGAGAGGAGCACGTGAGGGGCACCTTGGGGCACAGTGGAGGGCAGCGTGATGGTCCAGGTGCCAATTGCCCTTAACACTTCTAGGGCGTTTCTAACACTTGAGCCCAGCCTGTCCCAATGCAGGAGGCCTGTGCTGCCTATGGCAACTCTACCTCCTGTTTCTGCCACCTGGCTTGTTTGTACAGGGCAAGGGACTGTTATCAGGTTGCTGCGGTGTCAGTGAGATTTTCAAGCTGAAATGAAACAAAGTGGATATGCCATTTGGACAAGTGAGGTGGTCAGAATGGGAATGGAATTAGGATAACCCCTTTGTACTGAGTCCAGGGAACATTAGTTGACTAGTGTTCACACTCGGATCCTTTCTAACCAACTTGGACTTTGGCCAGTGTTCTCAGATTATGATGCTTGGTTATTCTTAACCAACTAGCCAATTAGCCCGTCATAAAATGGGATTTTGAGGTCTTCTCTCCTGAGCTCTTTCGCTTTGTCTCTCTCTCTCTCTCCTCCTACTGCCTCCCCCACCTCAGCTCTCCTCCGCCTCCTGCCTCTCTCTCCGTCTCTTTCTTTCTCTTCTCCCCCTCTTGCCTCTCACTCTCCCTTTCTCTTCTCCTCCTCCTCCTCATGCCTCTCTCTCCCTTCCGTCTTTCCCTGCCCTCCTTCCCCTTCCCCTGTGGCGCTCGGCTGAGTGCTGCCTGCTCAGCCCGGCTGCTGCGAGGGAGGGGGGCATGGTGGTGATGTAAACGGCCAGGAGGTGGGGCTGTGTACGTCACTGCCCCACTCCCTGTTCCCCTCCCGCCGCGGGGGAGCCCAAACGCCCCTTGCGCTGCTGGCTGCCCTGGCGGCCTGGCTGAGGGGCATAGCTCTCAGCTGAGCGCCACATGGTGATGTACACGGCCTCGCCCCCTTCCCCTCCCTCCATGGTGGCTCGGCTGAGTGTTGCATGCTGAGCTGGGCTGCTGCGGGGGAGGAGGGATGGGGCGGTGATGTACACAGATAGGAGGCAGGGCTGTCTACGTCACCACTCCTCCTCCCCTCTCCTGCGGTGGCCTGGCTGAGGGGCGCACCACTCAGCGCCACGGCAGGAGGAGGAAGGGGGGGCGATGACGTACACGGCCCCGCCCCCTGGCCGTGTACATCACTGCCCCGCCCTCCTTCCTGTCCCACCAGGGCTCAGCTGAGCAGCGCAGCGCCAGTGCCACTCAACTGGGCTGTGGCCAGGGAGCAAGTGGCGGCAAGTGTCCATTTGGGGTCTGGCTGTGGCCAGT